ATCTCACTGAGTTGCTTAGGACCTCACTAAGTTGCTGAGGCTGGCTTTGAACTTGTGATCCTCCTGCCTCAGCCTCCCAAGCTGCTGGGATTCTAGACGTGCACCACCGCACCTGGCCTCAAGCCCAGTTCGAAGCAAGATCTAATCATCCTTCTGTCTCTCTAGATCCGCCAATTCTAGAAATTTCATACAATTGGAATTATATACTGTTGGTCTTTTGTGTCTGGCTTCTTTCACTTAGCTAATGTTTTCAGGGTTCATCTATGTTGTAGCCAATGTCAGCACTTCTTTTTATTTATTTATTTATTTATTTATTTTAGTTTTCGGCAGGCACAACATCTTTGTTTGTATGTGGTGCTGAGGATCGAACCCGGGCCGCACGCATGCCAGGCGAGCGCGCTACTGCTTGAGCCACATCCCCAGCCCAGCACTTCTTTTTTTTACGGCTGAATAATATTCCATTGTTTGATTATACCACATTTTGTTTATCCATTGATCAGCTAATGGACATTTGGGTTGCTTCTACTTTTCTGATTATTATGACTCACGTTGCTATGAACAGTCACGTTCAAGCTTTTGTGTGAACATATGTTTTCAGTTCTCTTGGATACGGGCCTAGGACTGGAATTGCTGGATCATATGCTAACTCTGTTTAACCTTTTGAGGAATCACCAGACTGTTCTCCAAAAGTGTTGCACCATTTTAAATTCCCACCAGCAGTGTATGATGGACTATTTTCCCCATCATTCGAAATTCTGAAATAACACCCTTGACTCCTTGGCCATCTCCAGGTAACACCCCATTTCTCCTTCCTCTGCTTCTCTTTATAGCAAAACTAAAAATACATGATCTCTGCTACTTGTCTCTAATTCCCCACCTCTTGTTTCCCCTTCAGCCCTTTAGGGTTAGATGTTGTCTCCAGCAGTCCATCAGTGGCTCTCATCAGGGTCACCAGTGACACCTCTGTTGCCACGTGGTGAGTCATTTCTTAGTCCTCACCGACTGGCCCCTCAGCAGTTTGGGACCCAGCTGACCATTCACTCTTCCTCCATCCTTTCTCCCCTCCTTCTCCTCTTCCTCCTCCTCTTCCTCTTCCCCAGTCACCAGCTATCCTTTTCTGAACTCTGGGGCTCCAGGACTCAGTGCTCAGTCCTCTTCTCCGACAAGGTTCACTCTCCAGGTGATGATAAATCAACCCAGACTTTCGGTTCTATTACCCCAGCATCTCCACCTGGCTATCTATTGGACATTTTATTTTTAAAAAATATATATATATATATATATATTTTAGTTGTAGTTGGACACAATACCCTCATTTCACTTATTTATTTTTATGTGGTGCTGAGGATCGAACCCAGGGTCTCGCACGTGCAAGGCGAGCGCTGTACCGCTGAGCCACAACCCCAGCCCTGTCTATTTGACATTTTAAACCTGTCCTGTCCAAAATAGTTCTCTAGATGTTCCCCACCACATGTGCTCCTCCCACTGTCCTCCCCGTCACCCTGAACGACAACCCCATCCTTCCGGTAGGTGGCTCATCCTTGACTCCTTCCTCTTCCAACACCTCACATCCTGTCCACAGCAAAGTCTCTGCACCCACAGTGCATCTTCAGCCCAACCACCTCACCGTTCCCATTGCCACTGGGCTCTAAACCTGGTGGCCCTTCACCGGGATGATCTCCCCTCACTCCCTCCAATTCCCTATGGCAGCCTCCTAAGAGGCTTTGAATGGTAAGACCAGGCCAGTAACCCAGAACTCCCCAGGGGACCCCAATTCCTCCAGAGACAATGTCAAAGTCCTTACTCAGCCTCCCAGCCCCTCACGATCCGACTCTGCACTGTCCCCACCACAGCCCTCTTCTCTCCCCTCTTGTTCTGTCCAGACCTGCCAGCCTCCTTGAATACGTGATACACTCCAGTCTGAAGCCCCTTCCCTCATGGTCCCCTGTTCAAAATGGAATGAACACCCTTTAGCCCCCTCCCTCCCAATACCCACTCCAGGGTCAAAGGAAGGAGCTGGAGCTACACCATGGAACTGACCAGTCAAGTGTTAGATAGGCCCCTCAGGCTCTGTTGGACCTGGAAGTCAAGGGCTGCATTGTGCTATTTCTTGGAAACTTGGCCCCTCTAGAATCTTTTGGATTTGATTTTTTTTTTTTTTAGTCTCAGTTCATAAGGATTCTGTCCTCTGCAAATGCTAAAGTGTATTCACATGGTTTCCTGAAGATCCAGAAAAAGGTTTGAGAAAGAAGCACCCTAGTTGTTCAGAGTGCACAGCAGCCATTCCACATCCAAGGGGCAAGTATCGAAGTCTGATAAGTGTGGTGTGACTCAGTCTCACATACATCTGGCGGGAGTTAACAGACACGGCCACTGTGGAGCGCATTTTGACTGAAGAGACACCTACCTTTGGGACAGCAATTCCACTTTAAACATATACACCCTGGAGAAACCTGTGCACAGGAAGACCTGTGTAATAATGTTTACCATAGCCTTATTAGCAATGGTGAAAACTGGAAACCACTGAAATGCTCATCAACCAGAGAGTGAATAAATACATTTTAGTTTAGACCTATAGGGGAATCTTTTTTTTTTTTTCTTTTGGTGATGCCGGGGATTGAACCCAGGGCTTTGCATGTGAGGCAAGCACTCTACCAACTGATCTATATCCCCAGCTCTAGGGGAATCTTTACAGCAGTGAAAATGCATGTACTAGAGCTCTATAAATCAACCTAGGTAAATCTTAAAAAAGCAGTATTAAGCAAAAACAGAAGAAAGTCACAGAAGGATATATACATAATGCAATGCCATTGATATAAAGCTTAAGAGTATCCCCAAATACTATAAATTGTTTATACATATATATATAACAAATTTCAAAGAATGTATTAGCAGGATAAACCCAAAAATTCAGGGTAGTGGTCCCTATGTTCTGAATATTGGTGCCCCCTCCAAATTCCTATGTTAGAATCTAATACCCAAAGTAGTAGTGTGAAGAGGTGAACCTCTGGGAAGTGATTAAGTTGTGAGGGCTCTACCCCCATGAAAAGGATTAGTGCCTTTATGTTAGAGGAGCAGTGAGAAAGTACCATCTTGGAAGCTGAGAATGAGCCCTTACCAGCCTTGATCTTGAACTTTGTCAGCCTCCATAACTGTGAGGCAATAAATTTCTATTGCTCATAAATTATCTAGTTTACGATATCTTGTTACAGCAGCAGGGATGGACTAATACAGTGGTTACCTTTGGCAAGGGGAAGAAATGGGATGTGGGGTTATGTAAGCACATTTATGGCTTCTGTAATATTTTATTTCTTAAGAATGTGAATCATATTATAGACATGTTTTTATATGCCTGATATCTTTCACCATTAAAGAGACATTTTTTAAAGTGTTTGAATCCACAGGGAGCAGCGTTGTATATGCTGGGACCGTGGCTGATCCCAGTGAGTCTGTTCTGCCTGCTCCTAGAGTCACATAGCAGGGACACTTAACACCATCAGGAGCCCATCTGGAGATCTTTGTGAATCTCCACATTTATGAACATCACCAGAGCATATAATTTCCTCATAAAGCTCAGTAAAGTGTAACTCAAAGACTCAAGTGAACACTCTACACTGACCATGATTCTAGAGCTCTAGCTGAAGTAATTCATAAAAACAGTTGGCTTCCCGCTCATGGCCACTTACCCCAAAGAAACAGATCTGCATGTTTTTCTTCTTCGTCAGATATCACATTTTCACAATAACCCTACAGCCTGCCACATGGCTCAGGATTCACATTCACGCCTCAGGAGATTCATTAAGTGCCTCATAAAGTGCCCTTTGTAGGCGCTCATGCAGACACCTCAGATGTTCAGTCCAAGGTCGCCTAGGGCCACTTTGAGCACTGTGGTGACTGTGGGGTGGCATGTGCCCTGGTCATGGCTGTTTACCAAACATTAGCAGCCTACACACAGTAGCAGAGCAGGGGAGGCAGGAGGGACTGGGGACTTCAAACCTTGTTGGATCTGGGTTCTCTTCCTCAAGTCCCCCTATGTGCACTGTCTATGCAAGGGCTAGTAGGGGGGGGGGCACTGTTGAGCTCCTAGGGAGGCCTCAAGCTGGCCTGGCTGAGTTTTGACCCTGAGCCCATGGGCTGGAGTCTCAGCAGGCCCCTGATGGCTGCTATTGACCAGCTGGCATTTGGAGATGGACTTCTCATCCTAGCCAGCTGAGGTTACTAATGTACATTGCTTGGGGCAACTTGATGGCATGTCAATCTGCACCCAAAATGCTCTTATTCTCCAGGGGACTGATTCATGCCAGCAATGCCAAGTGTTATAAAGGGTCACAGAGGGGTGAGACCACAGGTGGGGACAGACCATCTTTAGGGAAGCTGGGTGTACGCCTTGAGGACACCTGTGCCTTGTCCACGCCCTCTATGTAAGGTGAGCAGAGCTTCTGCTGGTCTCCCTGGGGGCTACTGAGAGGACGGAGAGGAGGCAAGCAAGGGTCCATAAGGTACAAATCACTCGTATTGGCTTATATATTAAAAAAAAGCAACCTTGATCTCCTGATCTGGGTACAAACTGGGATTCCAGGGGGAGCTCTGAACTCTCGGGCACCTTCTTGATTCCTGATGTCACAGGTCCACAAAATGAACCTTCCTAAATGAATAAAGGAGCGAGGCTCCCTGTCCCCACCCCAGATCCCAGCCAAACCTACTCCCCACTATCGCCTCAAACATGCCCAGTGCTGTCACATACCCTTGCTCACGTAGCTCCCTTCGATGACAATCTTCTATTGGCGCTCACTGAAATCCTACCTGCTCCCTCGGGCTCATTTCAGGACCTCCTCCCTGAATGGATATGATGTCCCTCTCCTTGGTCCCTGTGCACCCCGCCAGCGCCTGGCACCACTCCCACAGGCAGTAGGTGCTCAGTGTGTCTTCCATTGTATGAAGCGTGCCAGGCCCCATGGGCCTGTCAGTGTTTTCCTGCACATGGGAACCCCAGCTCTTACCTTGGGAGTGAACATGTGTAGGATGCCATCGACTGCTCCTCGCAGCAGCAGTCCTCGGACCAGAAAGCAGGCCAGCACCACGTAGGGGAAGAGGGAGCTGAAATACATCACCTGCAGAGAGGACGGGGACCCACCATCAGGCAGAACCCCTCCTGCTCCTGCAGCTTGCATAGCCCTCCCTGCTCACAGGTGGGGCACACGAGACTCCTGGGATACCAGACAACAGACAGCAGAGCCCCGGAATCCCTGGGCACCAGGCCAACCCATCACCCATCTGGCCCAAGCCCAGGCAGGAGCAGGAAAGGCTGGAGTTCACGTGGCTGGCCCAGGGCTTGCTTGCCTCCCAAGGATTGATGGTTTAGGCCCCCATCCTCAAGGCTGCCAAGGGTGAGGGAATCCTATGCTCTCCTCCTCATTTACTCAAGTCTCATGCTCCTGTCCTTAGAGTTCCTTTGACAGAGGCATGCAGGAGGCCACAGACAAGGTTCCCAATCGGATACCATCAGGAAGCCTAGTCCTGTGAGCCCGAGCCCATGCTATTTGCTGGCCTGTGCATGTCTTGCATATTTTTATTGCTCCGTGTGCCTGGTACAGAGCCACATGCAAAGGCTATGCTCACAGGACATCCTGTTCTGAAGCAAATCCAAGGGGTGGGCAGGATGGTGCAAAGGTTAAGAAGGTGCGTGTCCAGAGCCACGTGCTCAAGTTCTGGGCTTGCCTCTACCAGTTGCCGTGGCCTCCAGCCTATGGACTTAACCTTGATGTGTCTTTGTTTCCCTGTCTCTAAGAGGGGTGTGAAAATTTCTAAGGCTCTAAAATTTCCACATAAGGTTGTTGAGGATGACATGTGTTCATATATGTGGCTGTACTGGTAAGTTCCACAAAGCATCAGCTACGATTTTGACCTCCAAAGAGGGGAGAGATCAGTAGCCAGGATGATGCCACCTTAAGGAACTTAGCTTCCTTGCTCGTCAAGTCTGGCCAAGAACCCAAAACCTCGGACAGAACAGGCTCTGGTTCCAGCTTTGAGGCTAATTGACTGCATGAGGTTAGACGACACACTTGCCCCTCTCTGGGCCTCAGTTTCCTCATCTGTAAAATGAGTGCATGGGGCTACAGGATTTCTAACAACCTTTTCATCCCTGGCAGGGCATGAGTACTGATAGGGGACAAGTAACAAAGGGCCCTCTTCAGAAGGGATCTGATCTGCTGGGGAAAGGTGTGTGGGCCTGGCCAGTGTGCACCCCAAGATGGAGTGGCAATAGAACTGCTTTCAGAGGCCCCCAAGGCCCCCTTCACTCACAGCACCCACCTGCTCAAACAACCCTATAGTGTTGACATGGAAAATGCTGGTTTTCACCCCAAAATCACTCAGAGCAAGTGACTCTAGGGCTTTGCTTGGGAACCTGAAGGGACAGAATCTAAACAGATATTCCTGAGTCAATGCTTCTATCTTCCTTCTCTTTAATGTCGCAGGGCTGGACTGAATTCTCTGAGCATGAAGGCAGTCAGGGGTCAGGACAACGATCTTCCAGCAAGCCCAGCCCTGGCTTGCTGTTCACAGTGGACAACAACGCAGGTGTTATTCCCACCCCGTCCCTTGGGGGTCAGTGCCATCACCCTGAGCCATCCAGAACATAAGCCAACAGAAGGGCCCTGCACTGGTGACGTGGAGTTCTCAGTCCCCTGTCCTCTTTCTGCTGTCCTCCTCCAACTCACCTTCCCTGAGGACTGGATCCCCTTGACCACAGCCATGCCCACAATGCTCCAGGCCACGAGAAGGCACAGCGTCATCTTCCAGTTGAGGCCCCCGCTTTCAGAGATGGAGTTGGAGATATCCAAGGCCTCTCGGTACCAGAAGTAGGTGGTGGCTGAGCTCTTCTCACATTCTGCCTCCACCACTGAAACAGCAGCAGAGGCCACAGAGGTCAGTGGCAAGGCCCCTGGGGCCACCTCTCCTACTGGACCTCTGCTCAGGGTGAAGGCGTGGCTGAGGGTGGGCAGCTGGAAGGGGCTGTGCTTGTTTCGGGTTAGCCATGATCTGGCAGATCCCGGGGAATCCCAGCTCCTGATGGAGGCTGGGAGGCCACAGGTCATGCTGAGCTGGGTGAATTCCTCCTACACCACCTGCTGCCCACATCTGTCCATAGAAGGTAGTAAGGGTTGAGGTTGAATTGGCCTGAAGGTCCTTGGGAAAGGTCCTAAATTGGGAATTAGAGACCTACATTCACATCCCAGATCACTGGTTAAATGGATACCGGGGAGATGAGAAAGTGGCTTCAAGGGCCTCAGTTTTCCCATCCGCAAAGTGGGATGATCATCCAGCCCTTTGTAGGACTGGCATGCAAATAAAGATTATTCACACGCAGCCTGGAGTTAGAATAACACAGAGTAATCCATATTAACCAAACAAAAATAAGAATTATAGTGTTTTAACTACTCTCATTTAATTCAGTCCTCTAAGCACCACCCTGTGGGAGAAGCCAGAAAGGGATCACTTGCACTGTGGAAATGGAAATGAGGATCAAGGGGGTTAAGTGACTTGTCCAAGGTGACACATCAATGAAATTCCCAATCTGTGCAGTAAGTCTATTAGACTCCTGCTAGGGAGAGAGCTGGCTGAGTCCCCAGCTGTGTCTCAGGAGTCCCATACTTGCCTGCCATGGTCCCATTCCTGATGACAGGACATTCGCTCCAGGGCAGTGGGTACTGGAAGGACTTGAAGAAGTAGAAGATGCTCCATCCGATGATCACGTTATAATACAGCCCAACAAAGAGGCACACCTGAGGACGGGGACCCAGGGTGGGATCCCAGAGGATGGGGGTTAATGACAATGCCAGTCCCACCCAACACTCCATCCCAGGGCCAGCAGCACAGGCCAACGACATAGAACACAGCAGCACAGCCACGAAGGAGGACGACCAGGGATGAGACGGAGCAGCAGGAGCAGCAAGGACCTGCTCCCCATCCCCCATTCATCTGGCACTCAGGCAACCACAAAAGAATTCTTTGGATATTAAAGTTGTCTTAAATAGACTCTTAAAATGTTAATCCTTTCCAGTTTTGAAATTCCTCTAAGATACTTGAAGCCCTTCCCCACCATTTCCTGAGGACTCAGGATTCTGATTAGAGATGTCCTCCAGGACCAGAGAGGCTGCGCAGCTTTTGCCCTTATAGGAAACGGCCCCAGGCGGTTGTGCTTATGAGATTTTATGGATTGCTGGTTTCCTATGTCTTCCCTTCTCTCAGGATATTACTCTCTCTTTGGTTCTGTTAGCAGCCGGCCTCTAGAAAAACACCACTTTTCACTTCTTGGAAACAAATAACTAAGCTTGGTAGAGTTTTATTTAAAATAAGAGTACATGGAATCTGATGGAGGGTCCAAAGGGTTTCTTTGAAAGTAATGTTTTATGGACAGAGATTTGCAGCATCTGATCTAGATGCTGAGGGGTCCCTTCCAGGGGCCTGGCGGTGGGAAGACTGCTGTTCAGAGTAAGAGCCAAGGGGCCCTTGCTTGGTTCGGTTCACCTGAGTACCTGTGCGCAGAGCAGACGCTTGCCCAGCAGGCTGTGTGGGGATAGAGATGGAGAGAGACGCCTGCTTCCTCTACTTGGGTGCTTTCAGTGCAAGGGGAGACCTGGCACACACTACTGCGTGTGACTGCGGCCAGCCCAGCAGAGTGCACTGTAGCTGGCCAGATCAACCTGTGCAAAGGCAGTGCCCTGTGGGTGAGTAGAGGCCAGACAGCCCCTCTCCCAGGCTCTCCCTGGAGCAGGTTTGGACTGGCCCTGCCATCCTGCTTGATGGAATCCTTAGTCCCTTCCAGAGCAGATTCCAGTTTCTGTTCCAGGTATGAGCATAGGCAACTGTAGGCTTTGCCCTTAAGGGACACTCAGTTCTTCACCTAGAGCTCTACACAGGGCCTCATCTGCCACCTTGTGGCTGAGCTGGAGGCCTCATGGACTTCCCCTCCCAGGATTCTGGGGTCTCCCTCTCTCCCACTGTTCCGAAGCCTCACCTCTCCTGGGTTGACCATAAGGTTCCTGAGTCCTCCAATGGGGCTCATTTGTGTAGCACCAAGGCTACAGGGCCCTGAGCCTTTTCGGAGTCACTTACATTCCCAGTGGAAACACTGCCTGCCCAAGGAAAGGGGTAGGGCCCTGTTACATGGAACTGACGGCTGAGAAGCAGAGATAGGTATTTAAAATGGTCTATATGTCCCCCAGAGACCCTGACTGAGATGTCCCAGGGCCTCCCTTGTGAACATATCCCAGCATTGCCTCCTTTGCCTTAGTTGCAAATATCACATTCTGCTTCAGGCAGGGCTGTTGACTTTCAGTGTAGGAAATATGGTAACTGTAGCCCCGAGACACCAGCTGGAAGCCATTCTCCTGTTGGGTGACCCCTTGCTGCCTTTGTCTTGGCCCAGGACTGTGGCCTGTAAACCTCTACCCAAGAGTGGCCCTTCTGTCTCTGGCTTAGTGCCTTCCCCAGCCCTGGACTCACAATGCAGCTGGAAAAGCCAATGCCCCCCAGGCGGGGACACACGTAGTGCCACACACCAATGCTGCCGCGGCGGATCCTTTGGCCCACAGCCAGCTCCAGGAAGAATAGGGGGATGCCAATAATGATCAGCAGCACCAGGTAGGGCACCAGGTAGGCACCTGTGGAGAGAGAGGAGGGGTGTCAGAGGCTGTCTAGAGTACAAGGTCAGAATGAGAGAAGGTGTGGCAGCAGGGTCCCCCAGTCTTAATCACATCTCAGATCATCCACTCACTGTCCCCAGTCCCAGGGCCCTTTCATGCCTGTGACCTACCCTACACTGGCTCATTCATACCCTGCTTCTCCTTGACTCCCTCCAGCCTAAAATGCTAAGGGAGGAACATATATATATCAATACTCCCGCTCACTAGACTCAGCTCAGAAACAGACAGAGGGAAGGACAGACACCTCACTGCGTCTCGGGAACGCATGCATCAAGTCATTTGCAGACACATTCACCTTAGAAAATACTCTATGGACATCTGTTCACACCCCTCCTGCCCATAGGTAAGGAACCCCAGATGGCATGGGCCCTGATCACTTGCCCCCAGTGGCCCTGCCTGCCCATATCTGAGCCAGATGCTGATGCAGCAGACTGGGCAGCTCCAGGGAAGCAGAAATTGGAAGCTCTCCAGGGAGAGGGGGTCTAACCAGCATCCTCATTAATCCACAGCTAATTGGGAGGAATAGAAGAGAAATTAGCTGTTCAGGAAAGCGTGGTCAGAAGGATCATAAAGGATAGAATGAATCTTGCTAAAGATTCCAGATGATAAATGAATCTTGCTGTCCTAAACCTCACTGCAGACACAATCTCAATTCCAAGTGACAGGGCATTTAGCAGGAGAATTAAAGCCACGCCTGGACATGGACGAATGCACGCCACAGAGAGCTGTGCCAACAACACAGTCCTATTAGCACACTGTCATCCAGGCCCTGCCTGTCTATCAAACAGTCTCAGGCCAGCCCTAGTCACCAAGGTCCTGATGGTCACCCAGTGCCTGTGAGCAGTCTCCAGATGTCCCCCAGCCTCACTGCTCTGCCCCCTATAACATAACATCTCACATTCTCTCCTATATGTGCCCAATCTGCCAAGAAACACTGGGGATTGGGCACCAAACCTGGCACTTGGCAAAGTCAGCTGTGTACTGCGGGTCTACCCTGTGCCAAGCAGGAAAGTAGGGGGATAGTGGAGTAACAGAAGGCACAGACGCCATCCTTGGGGGAGCTCACAATCTGTGAGGGAGGTTGGGCTCTCAGCTGCACACGGGCAATGTCAGCACTGGTCACACGGAGCCAACTGAGCAGTATGTATGTACATATGAAGGAAGGGGCCGGGTTCTGGGGAGGCAACCCACCGAGTCATATACAATAGTACTGAATTCATCACCATAGTGCACATCAATTCAACATGTCAAAAGCAGCCCCGTCATGGTACTCAAAGAAGGAAGGGCCTGAAGGAACACAGGTAGAGACCCCTGGGTCTGTCTAACTCAACTTCTTGGCCTCGGGTGGAAGGAAATGGAAGTAGAAAGAAGCAATCTGCTATAGGAAGGCAAAGGAAGATAGCCTTCCTGGTTTTTTATTTATATGCCCCAATATCCTTGAGAGGGACTACATGTGCAGGGAGATGGGTTTCAGAATATTGGCATCTTCTACAGATGTTTCCTTTCTCTCCTCAACAGTGAACCTGCCTAAACCAGGTACTGGCCTCCTGCTGCTCAGGCCCCATCCACCTCAGTCAGGCAGGACACAGGGGGCTGACCTAGCTGCAGGGTTCTCCACCAGGCTGAGGCCCTGCTGACCAGAGTGCTCAAGGGGCTGTGTGCAGTCTAGGGGAGCTAAATTTGTAGTGTATCAGCCTTTGTTGAAATCATTGGAGAATACAGTAGCACCCTCTTCCATCTCAGAAAACACAACCTGGGGACACAGTGGGTTTGCTTCCATGTTTCAGCAGCTTTCAGGAGCCTCCAGTCGGGACAGCTGGGAGCATTAGGAAATTGAGCAAAATGTGGACGGACTCCAGGTTCTCTGAGGCTCCCTGGATGGCTAGCAATCTATGTCTCAGTCTACACCCAGCTCCTTGGTTCTGGCAAACCCCAGGTTTCTTTACAGAGCTTAAAAGACTACATTGGTCCTAGCCCATTGAGCTATGGATTAAGCAGGAGCCAAGTTCATATCCTGGAGGCAGACCTCCCAGGCTTGAATCCTGGCTTTGCCACTTATTAGCTTGTAATTTGAGGCAAATTACTTGATATCTGTGTTGCTAGATTGTCATCCGTGTAAAAAGGATGGAAATATTAAGTAGAAACATAAGCAATGGCTGATATTGGACCCATTTTTTACTTATAAAAATGCCATTTCATACACTCTGATGCTCTACCTATCACAGGGCTGTATTGTAAAGAGAAAATGAGTTACTTATCCACATTAAGCACTTAATAAACATTTGCCTCTTTCTCATAAAAATAAACAGAAAAGAGGCAAATTAAGAGGATGCAAAATAAAGAAATTGCCGGCATCTGGTGGAGCTAAGCAGAGTCCCAGATTCCATCCAGAATTAAGCACGGTTTGATTGAATCACCCATGTTTCAAAACCACCGAGTGCCAAGTCCAAGGCCAAACACCTGTCTCCTCCCTAGGACCCTGTGCTTCCTGCTCGACATTTAAGGTGACTTGTAAAACCTGTGAGAGGCAGGACAGTTAAAGGTGCGAAGGGATTGCCGGAGCTAGAGAGGAAGGACAAATAAGGGAAGGAACATAGAACATAGAATGGGAGCTCAGAATCCTAAGAGTTGACCACACTTTTCTTCTGGGGGTGTTGATTGCTGACACCGTGAACAGGCGATCTAGGTAAGAACACTGTCCTGAGAGAGTGCACTGTCCTGAGTGTGCACGTGCACGCATGCAGTAGTAAGGGGGACTCTAGGATTCAGCACCAGGTATCCAGGCAGGGTTGATCATCTAAGCCAGCAAGGGCAAGGTTACAGGTTCTGAGTAAGTCCCCAAATGCCAGCTGTGATTCAAAAATTTTTGGTGCCCCCAAGCTCTTCTCGGAGGAAAAGCATAAGGAAGTCAAACACTTTTGTTTATATCTTGCTTTGAGCTGGTCTTATGTCAACATGGTGACCACATCGAAAGCTCTGATTGGCAGTTATTTATGGAAAAAAATCAAAAATGTCTTTCAAGCAAGGGAACCATGTGGTGAATATACTCTACAGTGGAAGCCTCTGGCCTGACTCAGTCATATGAGCTCAGAAGGGAAGCTTCACTCCCTGTCCTTCAATAGAAACTGGGAAGGAGGAGAAGGCCCCAGGCAGACTTTGCCTTTTGAACCAGGCAGAGAATGTGTCCTCGTGTCCTTGTGGAGAGGAGGGGAAGCCGCTGCATGGGGCTGCATTTCAGTGCTGGAGAAGCAATGCCTGGGGGCTTCTGCCCACCCTGGCAACTGGAAGTGGTGATGGTGGTCTGACCCCAGCAAGATCCTCAAGAGAAATTCACACAGGTACAGCATGAGGTCCCCTACGGGAGTGGGGCAGGTGGCAGCAGGTGCCATATGCAGTACACAGGCTGGGGCCAGGTTTTTCAGGTTGAGTCCTAACTATGTCACATGACCCTGAACAAACCACCTAAACAAGCTGTGTCTCAGTTTTGCAGTCTCTACAGCGAGGATGATGATACAACTCCTTCCTCACATAAGATTGTTGGGAGAATTCCATGGTTGTGAAAACAGTAATGTGTTTGTTTCAAGGTGCTCAAATATCAGCAGTTTCAGGCCTAATAGCCAGTGTTTAGAAAATGCTTAGCACCTAGTAGTCATTTGATAATAGTGGCCAACAGGTGCTCTTTATTATGGGTCGTGTAGTATATAAAGCTCATTTAATCCTTCCAGCTCCCCTATGAGGCAGGAGCCACAACTCATTATTACCCCCATTTTACAGATGAGGCACAAAGAAGTTAAGCAACTTGCACTAGGTCCCAGACTGGGATCTGAACCCAGGCAGTCTGCAGTCAGAGTACGCATTCTTATCATCATGGCCTACAGCCTCTGGATAGCTATTAGCCACCGTTATGGCTATTCCTGGAATCCTGAATTGCCACCTTACATGGACTCCAGTTCTGCCTCCTTTTCACCCCTCAGCCCAGCCCATTCGCAGGGCACCTTGGTGCAAGCAGGGCAGCCTCTTACCTCCTCCATTTTTCTGGCACAGGTAGGGGAATCTCCAGATGTTGCCGAGGCCCACGGAGAAGCCGATCTGGGCCAGGATGTACTGCAGCTTGCTATTCCAGGCTGGTCGGTCCTCTGCGTCCAGCTCCTCCTCCGCTGCCTTCTGCTTGCCACCTGCCTCACCGGACACATTCAGTACACTCTGCTTATAGTCCACAGGCTCCTCAAGGGCCAGCAGGTCAGCCACTGACTCGGTGACATGTTCATTGCTGTGCTCACGTTGGGTCACCTTGCTGTTCTTCGGCATGGGTGCCACCGGGGCCGTGCAGCCCTGCTCCCCAGCACACAGAGAAGGTGGGACTCAGCTGCTGTCAGCTCTTTCTCATCCAGGGACCTATGAAAACAGGAGAGCAGGAGAGGATTAACTGAGCACACCGGGGAGGTAGGGGACCCAAAGCAGATACAACCTGATCAACTGCCTGGCACACACTCTGAGGCTGGACGAGGGCCTCAAAGGTTGAGCTTGCCTCTCCTTCCCATCATGCCCCCATTGCAGAGTTCAAGGTCTGCATGCTCAGTTTTCCCAGAGATCCCCTCTGAGCATAAGAGAAAGGTAAACTTAATGGGGCAAAGTGGGCAAACCCATCCACTGAGCAGGAGTAAAGGGTCACCCATCATGCCACTGCCCTTTTCATACTGCAGAGCTGAGAGTGTTCCAGACCCTTGGGAGACCCCCACAGCTTTCCCCCTTCCAGGCTGACCTACCTGTCTGGTATTCTATTGAGCTAAAACCACTTGGTGGGACCCAGGAAAACCAGTGTCTGCCTTTTCTGGGGTCTTTCTATTCAAAATATAGTCCATGGACCAGTAGTATGACCAGGCGCTTGATAGAAATGCAGAATTTCAACCCCACCCCAGACCTACTGAATCACTCTCTGCATTTTTACAGGATTCCCAGGTGATTCAGAGAAACATTAACATTTGCACCTCACCCCCACCAAAAAAAAAAATGTAGTGCCCTCACAGTGGGGCCCCTGGGTGCTACCAAGGCACCTTCATTTCCTTGGCAGAAACAGCTGATCAGGCTCGGCACCAGAGACCTAGAAGTATTTGCTTGGTGCCAACAAATCCTGGGTCATTGCTCAACGTTGACATTATCTGAGGGCCACTGCAGCCAGGAGCTGGTTCTCCATCCTTCAGAGACAGTTTTACGGCAGATAATGTCTGCACAACACGGGTGGGGAGGCAAAACCCTCCCCTGCTCCAGCAGGTCCTCATTTGTCATTCATGCCTTCCCTTAAAGAAAATGAATCCTTGAAGAATTCTAACACCCGCTATATTTCAAGGCACCTCCTCATTAAGGGGAGGTTGGAGGATTTAAAATTAAACACACACACACACACACACACACCAGTCGGTAGTTGCCCTGCATCTTTCTAGGGATGTAAATTATCCAGCTCTGTAATTACTTTATTAAGAGAACGAGCTGTCCCTGGAAGCCGGGCTTGCTGCTTATTCTCCTCCTTCTACATCTGTGCCACCTGAATGGCACAGGCAAGGTTGCTGGGCAGCAGAAGGGCACAGAGGTACCCTTCCTGCTAGCCTAGACCCAGAATTCCTGGCTGACTCTAATCAAAACCTGACCTTTGAGGGAGTCCAGCCAGCCAGGTCCTGCTACACATGTGGTGAAGCTGTGAGGCCCAGCAGGTGGGGATAATTGTCTATGCTGGTCCTTGGGATGGACTAGCCCTCCCCAGAGGGATGGATCATATTAGCAGGTGACACTTCCCTGCCTTCTTCACCCAAGGGCAAGAGTGAATCTTCAGCAATATGCCCTTCCACCCCGGGAACAGTCAGGGTCTTGGGCTTTGGTGGAACGGAAACAGAGCCAGCCTGCCTAAAAGACCTCAGGATCCCCTTTAAAAAGCTCTCTACTGGGACTCCATTGTGGGTCAGCTGAACATCCCACTGTATCCTGGAGGGTGCTCCAAAGTGGCACTTAGGTGTCTGTGAACCCTGTGGCCCGCAGCCTCCCTCCAGGGCTGCTGTGTTCCTCATGCTAGACAAATAAAGGGTTATAAAGGGATTTGTGCAATAGGAGGCCTGTGTTCTGGCCTAGGATGTCAGTTTGAATCCCACCCTGACCCCACCCAGGAGGTCCCTGTCCCCAGGGTGCTCAAATAGAAACCATACGCAAGGGCTGCTTCTCTGGGCACTGCATCCTCCTCCTGAGCTCACATGGAGAGCTTTTATTAAAGACTGGAGCTGAGGCACAGGGTGAGGGTCCCTCTGGAGACTGCAGGCATGGGGGTGCCTTGGCTCTGAGCCTCTCTCTCACTATTCTGCCTACAACAGGATTTGATCAGAACAATCTGCAATGCATTAGGTCTGATTTAATGATCATCAAGCCACAGCTGGAAAAGAAGCAAGGGAGAGTCCCCCTAGTCTGCAGAATTCATCTTGATGCTGGCCAATTGAAACACACATTTCCCCATAAATAGCCTGGTGAGTGGCAGCTCGGTCACCAACATGAGCAAGGGTTGGATGGAAAAAAGCACTCTTTTAAGCTAAGAGGACTCAAGGACAAAGTTAGCACATTCTGGAAAAGTCAGAGAAGGACACTGAAAGCAGCATCCGGGCAACCACAGGTCCACGCTTAATGCTGTATAAGCTTCCTCCTTTTCCCCACGATGTCACTGAGGTGTCTGAGCATCCTGCACTGCAGGATGGGGGCCTAGGGAATCCCTGTGTCATCAGATTTGCAAGATGCAAAGGGCTGATGTGAACCTGCAAGCTGAGGTTCTGGATTATAATCACAGTTGGGAAGTGCCCGGTGACTGGGACTATGCCCAAGTAGCAGCAGAGCCACATTCTGAGAAATAAAAGCTTGAGGAATCCTAGCAATTCCCCCACTTTACATATATGGCAACTGAGGCCCAGAGAGAAAAAGAAAATAATGGCTCAGAACTACTCAGGTCCTCCTGACACCCTGATCAGAGTCTCCTCCAGGGAGTTTCACCTACTGAGTTGGGCTCAGTAAAGATGGAAACAGAGAGAGGGCAGATGGGTGTAGGGGTTTAGGGCAAGGACTCTGAAGTCAGACAGGCTAGGGTTTGAGAGTTCCCATTCATTCATTCACTCACTCACTTGCTCACCCAAGTGACTCCCATATACCATGATCTTTCTAGGGGCAAGGGATACAGCAGTGAACAAAAAAGGCCATGTGTCCCTCTTGTGGAGTTCACAAGAGAGCCAGAAACTAAGAAATAAACGTCAAACATAACGGCCAGGGGTGATGTGTGCTCCACAGAGAAATAGCAAGTAGGAGTGGGGGAAATGGCAGGCTGTTCCTTTATGCTGGGGGTGGGGAGGTCAGGAAAGGCCTCTCGGTGACATTGGAGCAGAGGCCTTAATGACAGGAAAGAGCATTGGCTGAGAAAAGAGCCTACTGAAAGGAAGCAGTATGAGGAATTCCAGGAACAGCAAGGTGGCTGGAGTCACCAGAAGGGAGCGGCAGGGAGGGCTGGCCCCTGGAGACCTTGGCCATGCACTAGCTGTGTGCTCTTTGGACAAGGCACAAATCACGGGAGCATCAGTCTCCTTGTGAGGAAAACAATTACATCTAATGACAGTTCCCTTCTCTCTCTCAGGGAAGGCTGCTGAGAGGAGCCAATGAGTTACCACAATTGAGTGCCTGGCATACAGCTAGGCACACGGGGAGGATCCAAAGGGTAGAGGCTGCTGTCTGGAGGCCTGGCATTATTTACCTTTATCCATTTAAAATATGTAAGTGCCCATATCTACATCTAGACACAGAAATCCCCGCTCCCTCTTAAGGAAGGGCCAAGGAGACGTGGGATTCGAAGACAGCAGGTAGACAGAAGCATTTTTCCTCACCTCAGAAACGTCTACTTGGGTTAGCAAGAACTGGCTTCCTCCTGGGGCTGCCGGCCAGCACCTTACAAAGCCCTGCCACTCACCATACCCCAGTGGACGAAGGATCGAGGTACAGGGCACATTGAAAAGATAGACAATAAAATGTAAATAAAAATAAGGCCTCAAGTGAAAAGTTGGGCATTACTATTAATAATAAAAATACAGTTCAGACATGATATCTGTAATCATTTGAAACCACTTAACAACATTTTCTTTCTTTCTCAAGGTACCAGTGATGGAAACCAGGGTACTTAACCACTGAGTCACAACTCCAGCTCTTTTTATTTTTTTATTTTGAGACAGGGCCTCACTAAATTGCTGAGGCTGGTCTTGAATTTTTAATCCTCCTACCTCAGCTTCCCAAGCCCTTCAGATTACAGGTGTGTGCCCTCATGCCTGGTCCACTTAACATTTTTACATGTTCTACTGGTACAGAATAGAGTAGTGATCCTGCTCATCAATTGTTCAATCTGAGTTTAAATCCCAGCTTCACTCCGTATCAAGTGCTTAGTTTCAGTTTCCTCACCTGTCCCAGGAGCTCCAAGTGCCCCCTAAGGCTGAGAGGAGGGTAAATTGTACAGGTCCTAGGGACCCCCAGGGGTCTCTCACAAATGCTTCCTCTTCTTGGGCTGTCGCTGGATTCACACTGTCACTGCTGCCAGGGAATTAAGCTGGCAGTTGCCTTCACTCCAGGTGACAGATGGGGGTGCCAAGACCAGGACAGTGCAGACTGTGGTGCTCAGCACCCGGGTCTCCCTGCTTCTGGACTCTCTCCATGCCCCAAGCTGAAAGGCTTCTTTAAAGGGGAAGTGGAGGCAGCAGAGACTTGGAACAACCCTCCCTCTCCCCAAGCCTCACTCCTGGTCCTCTGAAGCCTGGAATCCACGTGCTAGTGAAAGAACAGCTTCCAGATCAGAGCACGGGAATGCAAAGAGCATCCAACCAATAACCCCAAAGTATAGCCTGGGACAAGCACAAGCCTTGCCTTTGCATCCCATAGAGCCAGCCACAATTCAGGCATCAACCAGCTCTGCAGACTGGTACCACTGCCCTGACCTCCCTGGACCTCCGTTTCCCTGTGTGTAAAATGGGCTGGTCTGGATGACATCTAAGGCCCCTTTCAGCTCCAGCATATATCCAGCAAGTGCCCCTCCTGCATGTGGGTATGAGCAAGGCATCTCCTGCCTCTGGCACCAGGTGACGCAGACTCACAGCACGTCTGTCCTGCCCCCTCTGTCAGCTGAGAGCCAGCCGGAGCATCGTGAAGATGTGCTGACAATCAGCCCAACCATATTCTCATTATCCCCCTGTAGTAGCTGAGGTGGGTTGTAAAGTTGCGCTCACGAGCAACACGTCAGATGATGGAGGTGCATGGTACTCTCTGAAAGGAACGCCTCAATTACCTAAAGCACGATGCAGAGGGGCTTGTGTGCTGAGCAGGTCCTCAGTGCCAGCTTG